AGCTTGTTTTTACCGTCGCTTCCGTTCACGCTCTCGGTGCTGGACTGGGCCAGAACCGGTCTCCGGCGGCGCCCCCTGCCGGTGTCGGGGCTGCCGGTCGGCGTCGCTGCGTCTCTCCTGGAGAAGAAGCCGCTGAAGAAGCGAACGAGGCGCCGCTCGCTGCAGCGACCCGCCGCCGCTCGCAGCAGGAGGCCGCCGCCGCCGCCGCCGCCGCCGCCGGCCTCCTTCTGCAGCCGCTGCAGGTCGCTGTTGTCCAGAGTCCGGTTCTTGGCTCTGGCTCGGTCCCAGCGGCTCAGGTCCGACATGGAGTCGGTCCGGTTCAGGATGGCGCCCACCTCCAGGGTCCGGCTCTTCTCCCTGCTCGGGTCGGCGTCGGTCTGGTGGATGCAGCCGGAGCTGCTGTGGAGTTTGTCTTTGGCCTTCAGCCGCCGCAGCTCGGAACCGGTCCAGTTCCTGAAGCTGCAGCTGCGACGCAGCAGACCGGACCTGAGCGCCGGGCTCAGCGCCGGTGCCTCCCCCGAGGAGGCTCCATCAGGTCCTGGAGGAGGCTCGGAGCCGCTCTCCTCGACGCTCCTCGCCTTCAGCAGCTTGTTCTTCTTGCCGCCGGCGCCTCCTGCCGGGTTCTGGTCCTTGGCCGGCTGCAGCCTCCGGCACAGCTTCATGCGGCCCAGCTCCAGCTGCCCGGTGCTGAACGTCCTGAAGTTCCTCCTGCAGCCTCCAGAAGACAAGCCCTCCGCCTCGTCCTCCACCTCCTGCAGCTGCTCCAGCAGGCCGCCGCCCCGCTGCTTCTCCTCCAGGTTCTCCCTCTTGACCAGGGTCAGCGAGATCCGGTACACGGTTCTCCTCTGAGGAGCTGCTCGGTCCATGCTGGGGGCCTCCAGCAGGAACATCCTCCTCACAGTGGCTCCTGATCTCCTATTGATCACCTTCTGATCTCCTACTGATCCACTACTGATCTATTGATCATCTATTGATCTACTGATCACCTTCTGATCATTTACTGATCACTGATCTCCTCCTGATCACCTATTAATCACCTATTGATCTCCTCCTGATCACCTCGTGGTTCTGTCAGATGGCTCCTCTGCGGACCGGTCCAGTAGTTGGAGGGGAACCTCCAGAACATCCCGCTTCTGTCCGTCCAGATGTTCCGAGCGGCAGGAAACACATTCCAGCTTCATCCCAGCGGCCGCCTGCAGACACCGTGTGTCCGGCAGAGCGGCTCCTCAGCGGCCCTCCTCCTCCTCCTCCTCCTCCTCCTCCTCCGGCTCCGCTGCTCCCAGCAGCTCGGACGCTGAACGCGGATCCGCGTCCCGGACGGTGGCGGCGCCTCGGCCCCTTTTGTGTGCGCTCATCCCCCGCAGCGCGGCGCCGCGCAGCCCGCCGGGCCTCCGGCTCGTCCCGCCGGCTTCAGCTGCTTCACACGCCGCCGAGAGTCGCGCTCCGTGGCCGGTACTCCGGTCCTCCGGTCCTCCGGTCCTCCGGTTCCTGCTGCCGCTTTCAGCCCGCAGACACACGCTCCGCTCCGTCCCGGTTCTCCGCCGCGGCTCTCTGAGCTCCACACACCGACTCCCAGCGTCCGGCGGCGGCGGCAGGAGGCGGAGAAAACCCGGAGCGGAGCCGCGCTGATCCCGCACGGTGGGGATGAAGTCCGCCGGCAGCTGGTACCGGTCCTGTGTGGAGGATCGCTTCCTCTGGACGCTGGAGGAGCGTCAGCATGAAAACCTCCTCATTTAATGAGTAATCATGTTCAGTCTGCGCATGCTCACGCGAGTCTTCATGCTGCTGAAGTTGATTTCATTTTATTGAATCATTCACTGATTTTCCATATTTTCCAGTAAAGTCCTGGAAAAAGTCAAACTGCAAATAATCCAAAGTCAGGATTAACAACCAGGAAACAGAAGGACCTGTTTGAGCTGTTCTAGTAGAAAAGTTCCGGATGAGTCACTCTAAAGTCAGCTGCTATGTTTACCGTGTTTAAATCACAGAAATGAGGTGTTTATTGGATCAGAACATTTGTTTGTTTCTGTGCAGCTAAAACCCTCAAAGCACCAGATCATCAGGAACATGGCTGATTAATTCACATCCAGGTGTCCACTGTGCTCCTGTGGTTCCGAGTTCTCAGTCCAGCGCCGAGCTGCTGCTCCTCCTCCAGGTTCTGGGGCTCCGCTCCGTGCTTTGCTTCCAGCAGCAGCGGCTCTGATCGGGGAGGAGCTTGTGGAGGAAGAAGCAGCAGATCTGCTGCTGTTGACCTGCTTCAGCAGCAGCTCTCACTGTGGTGCCGCTTGGAAGGAAGGAGCGCAGGAACACTCGGTCCACACTCCATCTCACACTCATGGGCTTCCGACACACGGCCCGAAGGTGTTTAAAATGAAAACCATCCGCCGAGC